ACACACACACACACACAGCCCCTGTACCCCCCAGATCATGGGGCAGCCCAAGGCAGTTAGGAAGCACAGTTCAACCCTGTAGATCACTGTGTTGTAGCAGGGGTCTGCAGGGGTCGCGTCTTAAAGGTAATAGTTAATCATCAAGTGCTCAAAGTCAGTTAGCAGCAGTGGAGCAGAACAAAGACAGAGGTACAAAGGAGCAAGGCTCGCAGATACATGAGAGAGGGGTGGACACATGTCTCTAAGCTTGTGTCAGAAACTATGACCAGTTCAAAAAAATGTCTAAAAATGATAATACAGCACATGTTTTTGTTCATATTAATCCCTCCCTTTTTTTTTACAGAACATTCCAACTTTGGGAACAGTTGCTATAACAATGGCACTGCATAACTGTGATGAGGTGGCAGTGGCGGGTTTCGGCTACGACATGAACAAGCCCCATGCTCCTCTGCACTACTACGAGACTGTCAAGATGTCCGCCATTAAAGAGGTGCGCCTGAGCACAGCACTTACATCAATTCATAAAATCATAAGTGTGTTTGGTAGAGATACTGAAGTAAAATCCCTTTCTTGTGTTCAACATAGTTCTACATTTGTAAGAGATCAAGGCACTCTTAAATGACCAGATTTTTAAATGAAATCTGATGTGACATTCTCTTCATTCAAATAATGACAACAGTATTTTCTGGCTTCCTTCCCGCTCCGGCCACTGAATGATAACTGAAGAAAGAAATAACTGTAATCTTGAGCAGGGGCCACCGCTCCTGTGGAGGAGGGGAGGTGAACAGCCGAAATACATTCACTAAAAAGCGTTAAAATACTGTGATTTTAATAATAGTCTAAGAATTGTGCATGAATTGAACTGCTGTCAGCGGTTGTATTTGTATTCAAAAATGTTGAGTTGTTCTGATTGGATCAGTTGTTCAGGACTTGTGCTAATCGGCTCCTTGTACTCTGACAGACCAGAGTGTTTAAAGAAAATTGTGTGTAATTTCACATCAGAGAGTGCATAAAGGTCATACGACCCTTTTGAGTAGCAGTCATTTTCTACCATTAAAAACTTGTCATAATCCAGAGGGAAAAAAATGAAAACCGAAGAATGAAATCATCAAAAGGTTAAATCTGTAATTTCCCCAGACTGAAGTGGCATTGGTCTTTCATCAGCCACTGTATCAACATGCTAACTGTTAGTGCGTCGTTTGAATAATCATTTTCTAAACGCCCTCATGACAGATCTCTCTTCTCCATCAGTCGAGTTTTCCTCTCACTGTTTACACTGAAACCCAGTGGAATCAAAGATGTCACCAGTGTGCTGACGTGTGTAAACCATGAGCTCAGTATGATGATAACCTTTGTCTAAACTTTCAGTGAACCTTTGGCATTTATTATCATCATCTTCATCAACATTGTCATCATCAACCACACATGGCTAATTAATGGGAATACTTTTGGCTTTTTTGTTTGGAACACTTAACCACTGCTGCTCCCTGGAGTTGTATGATTTTCTGGAATCACGTGGACGCTGAGCTGTAAAATTATCCACGTATTATTCCACTGTTTTGGAGAAAGAGCCTGTTTCCTATCTGGATGGATGCTTTAAAGCTCCACGGAAATAATTAGACAAGATACACAAGAACTGATCATAAAATGTCACATACATCACTTTAGACAATGTGGTGTTCGTAAGGTCACCTGCTGTGGCGTATGAGACAGAGTTATGTCACAGCTAATCAAACTTAGTGAAAAATGTACTTAGTTAAAGCTGGTTCGTTCATAGTGACAAACACACAAGATTCATTACCCGGCTCTGCAGCTGTACAGAGCTTTTTGGTGTCTTTCAGCTCATTGTTTTGGTTTTACAGCCCAGAATTTGAATGTTTTGATTAACTCTCATTAACCTAATTTCCAACTGCAGCAAGCACCTGTTTTTCAACCAAAACGGCTCTGATAAATCCACTGTACGCTACCTGCCTAGTACCAATCAGCTCACAGACAAAGTCAGAGACTAGCTGGTGAACATAGTTTGGAGCATTAAGCAGCTGAAGAGCCCAATATTTCCCTCAGAGGTCGTAAGAGGAAGACCTAAAATAGAGTTAATCGGCGAGGGCCAGAAACGATGACTCCAAATTAAAATTCCATGTTGGCTCGGTGTCTGTTATAATATGTCAGTGTTGCATGTACAGCTGGTTTCTGGGGCCCCCAAGGACAGTGGACAGACTGTTAAGGTCCAGCTTTAATTCAATTGCAAGTTTTTTTTCTAATATCTGTTTTATAGAAATTACATGAACCCAAAAAAGGACATTTTCAATTCAAACTTATTGGCATTCTATTGTCACTGGTCATATCATCAGATAGCCAGGTGTAGCATATTGAATAGCTTAGACATGTACCTGCAATGCCTTGCTGGCTCAGCTGTGAATCAACAATCAAGAAGTCTGATGCATCTCTAAAGGACTGTTTTTCCTTTTCAAGAATACACTTAAAGATCACTTTAACATGATTTTTGACTGCCAATATATATTTTACTGGACTTACAGCCCTGTTCCTATGTTGATTTCCAATGAAACTGTAGCTTATTGTTCCTTGTGGTCCTGCTGTGACCCATCACATAGCGAGGTCTGACCCAGACAGGCCTGTAGGAAAGCCTTGAACCAGCAGCATAGACCAGAGGCAGCTGCAGGGCCCAACCTCCTGTAGCTCTCCACTTATTTTGTTCCTCCTATTCCCTCCTGTATGTTTCTTCCCCCACCCTTTGCTTCCTTCATCTGCTCTCTGGCTGTTCCTTAGTCTCTGCATCCCAAAGCACCACACAGGAACCACCGGCTCTGGTTACAGGTCGGCCCACTGGACTGAATCCTCATAGCACAGCAGGGAGGAAAACTGACCCAGTGTGGCTTCACACATATATATGCACACACGAACACCCACGTGTGTAGACACTGGGAATATGAAAATCCTAAACTAACCCACAGGTTTCTGTGCATATAGCAATTATTTTGGAATAAGTACTCTCAAATACTAGTGCACTCTCACACTGATGGTGGGTTATTTTGTGTATCACTCTCAATTAGTGTTTTCTTCTAATTCTCCC